GTCCGTGCAAAAATGAAGTAGGCGATCTCCGTTGTCCGTCCGGTTGGCTGGGATTGCATGTGGTACGCCAAGAAGCCTTTCTGATTCGTTCAGGGATACCACTTGAGCATTGAAGTCTCCGGCGACTACTACGACGTCCGTTGATCGAGCACTTTGGAGTAGTTGAAAAAGGTCATTGTAGAATTTATCCTTGATTTCAGGTGCACTGCAACTGATCGGTGTATAAGCCGATACGACGAATAAGCATCGAAGCTTCGTTCTGTAGCTGTTGACTCGAACTGAACCATTGAGACGTACAGCGCACAATCGGCTACTCACTGGAATTCAGTCAAGAAGCAAGCGCGCAGCCTTGGCACTTAGACCAATCCCGACACCAGCAACACCGCGAGCTTCAGATGCCGAATCGCCTGACACATAAAGGGTGAAGCGTGAGGTTGAGGTTGGACCAGAACGCAGAGAGATAATGGAAGTGGGGTCCTGTATGCGTGTTTCGGAGACACAACATACATCTACATTGAACCCCCAATCAACTTGGACGGAGATGGTTCGTTTACTGAGAAACTCGATATTCACGCTACAGGCGCCGGAGGGAACCCGATCATGCGTAGTTTCTTCAGGAGACTTTCGTGCCAAACTCGATCGAAGGCCTTTGAGATGTTAAGCGAGACCAAGTGGTAGGTAGCTTTCCTGTCGTCCGGTTCAGTACGACACCTGAACTAGCAAGGCCTCATGCGGTTCGCCACTCCAAGCCTCAGGGCTTAGGTTACCGGTTTGCATCAAAGAACAGCAGGTTCTCGTGACTATGGGGTTCACCCCGTCCCGTGTTCATCACACGAAAGTGTGTAATAAAAAAGTTTTTCTCCATGGTTATTGAATGGAGCTGATCAGGATTGTGAGACAAGAACCAGCAGGTCACCGGTGGAACGACGCTGACGGAAGCCATACTGGCGGTCGCTGAGTAGCCCTTCACGTTCAAGGAACGTGTGCAGTTGTTCAGAGATGATAGTTTCAAATATTTTCGAAAAAAACAGATATGAGGCAAATGGGTCAGTAATGATTGGGGTCACAAAGGTCGCCGAGTTTGGGAATGGATAAAAATCGGTTCCTAGCTTGCACGAAGCGATTGTGGCAGAGGGGAGTGGGCGAGCGGCGGAAGGCTGAACGTTTAAGGCGTACATCACGGTCACATGCATGGTTAAACCATTCAGGGTATTTGGGTTTGCCGGGTTTGGAAAAGTGCGGAATAAACAGATGCATAACTTGAAGAACAACGTCGGTGAAGTTGGAAACAGATTTCGAAACATCCGAAGAGAAACAGCAGTAATTCCAGTAATAAGCAGCTGGGAAATCACAGAAACCGTCCCAGT